GGGGGGGGGGGGGAGGGCAGATAACGATGTGAATTCAACAGCGCAGTTTGCCAGCACTGGAAATCGATCCTTTTTTTCACGAGGTGCACAGATTCGCTCGCAAGAACCCGTATAACCTGTGTAAACGTCGTTATCTTACTTGCAAATTTCACGACTTCCGATTGTTGGTCGTTCTTTTGTTCTTGTCGATTCGGTGAAAAAACGACCGCGTCAGTGTGACGTTAACTCGATCGGGCAGAAGCTCGTTGGCGAACCCGCGGCCGAGAATAATGCGAATTTACAGTGTGTCGGTGGTTTCCGAAAAACTGTTCCAGGAGGATCGTTCATGCGGAATCCATCGTACATCCAACGTGCGTTAGCTAGGGCACCCATCATGGTAGAGCAAACTAGCATGACCATCTTTTTTTCCCTTTTAGGCAGGGTTAAATACTGAAGTATCTGAGACTGATAGCTTTTAATTAATCGTAAGGTATTTATTCATCGTCTTGGGCCGGCATCGAACAGGCAGAGAAAAAGAGAAAGAGATTCGACATTATGTCACGTTCCCCATACATATATCCAGGATTGAGAAGTAACGCGTTACTTGTAGCGTCGTTACCATTACAGTTGCTTTTTTTCAATAATGATTTGGTAACGACGTTACATTTCTCACCAGTAACGGTAACGGTTGCATTTTTGGGTGACGAATATAATCGTTATTTTTATCGTTACTTTGCATGCATACATATATGTATAAAACGGCAGAAGCAAATCCTAAAAGAGAAGCCCGCAAAACGAGTCACGGTAACGAGTTACTTTTCAAAAGTAACTTTCCAACCCTGCATATAATCCGTCGTCGTTTTGACGTGTCCCCGGATCTGAAATTTACCGCAAAGAATAAAACGCTGATGGAGGAGTTCCTCGGAGAGAAGAGAAAAATCCTGTTCGGTGCGGCGCCTCACGGCGATTAGGAACACCTTTCAAATCCCTTTAAGGCAGGGTGCAAAACAAACGTCCAACATGATATAACGCTTACGATTAAACGTTATTGAAGAATAGCGCGTGCCACGCGAGTACCTCGACGCAGATACCGCGCACGCCTATGGCCCTGATGCAAGAAGGATTTAGACGAGCACTGTGGCATGACTAACTTATATTTCCCTTTCAGGCAGGGTGAGACACAATTACGTTATAAGAATAGCGGCGAGAATATAACTGGCCCAAATTAGAGTTAAAGAAACAACGTTTTCACGCCGTATTTACGCGTGTTAGAAACTTACCGGAATACCGGGTAATATGCGCTCTCGCAAGTGCTCGCCGACGATAAGCGGACGTCTGACCGGCGCGCGAAGGATTGATAGCTCTTCCTTCCTCCCCCACGGGATATCATTTCCGACCGGCTGACGGTATCCACCTGATACGTGAGCGACGACAACATCCACGTAGCTACGTTTGACAAACAAACAACCGAAAGCGCATAAGTGGTTCCGCTTACTTACGCTCGCGCGTAAGCTCGAAATATCACCGTCGGTCATTCGTTTCTTTTATCGCACGGCTACGCCACGCGAGAGCACTATAATTAATAAGCTACACCTTAACTCGAGTGTCAAGTATGTTCACGCTATTGCACGACTCTCTACATGTCCCTTTGAGGCAGGGTTTAAGACTACGCATTTCGATATATATATCGAGATTTCTACAATGTAGAAGTTTGCAATATACGTTAACAATAAAGACTCACCGTTTTATCCGTATTCGTGTGTGCTTGAGCGTAGCTACTCTCAAAGAAGAAAAAGATAATTTGTTCCTCGCACCCTCCTCCTTTCCCAGTCGCGAAGTTTCGTACGACTCGTTCACGGAGAAAAGTAATTTTGCCGTTGTAGCGATATCACACGGTTGCTACTGTGTATTCGTCGCGACAGCAATAAAATTTAATTGGCACAACCAAATTAGCAGATTACTTATAATTCAAGCAAAAACAATCTTGTTACTATGATATTCTGCTGAATTTGAATTTGTCTTTAGGACACGTTAATTTGCTGTTGGAACAAAATAGTGTTTTCCCGCACTTATTAATGTGTTCTCGCAGCAAAATAACTTGTAGATTCAATTAGTGTTATTAACCAATCGTTTTGCCGTCCTATAGTAACTGATAAATTTTGTTGCGGCGGAAAACTTGTTGCAAATTATTTTTCTCCGTGTTCCACTCGCGGATCTTTTAGGAGAAGGAACCGAGGTCACGAGGTCTTCATGAAGAAATCTACGTTTCGCGATCGGCAGCGCTCTCGCTGCCCCGCGTGCTCTCTCGCTCTCTTTCTCGGCGAGCCACTCATGCGAACGGACGCACACACACACAGAAACGCACGCATGCACACGGTGGCGCGCAACCCCGCAAGACGGAGGGATGTTCGGGTGCCAGCGATCGCTCGAATATTGGGGAAGCGTCTCGCGGAGCGGACAGGGTTGGCGGGCAGATAGCCTGCGTTCAGCCCTACCACCGTCCTCGTAACCAACTTCGGAGCCGTCGTCTTCGTTACATCGACGGACGATTTCTCTCTTCCTTGTAGCCGAAGTTGAACGCGGGACGGGGGTGCCAACGAACGGAGATGTTTATCCTTTAAATTCCTCGCTCCTTTGTACGTTTTATTCCACACACATACACGAGTGTGGAGTAAACGGTACGCGAATGTGGCTCCGGTTCCGGTGGCTTTCGGCTGAAATTTCTACATATCGACAAAGAAATATATTTAGCAACTCTCCAAATGAAAAAAAACATTCCAAGATATATCGAGAAATTTTACGAATAACGTCGGATTCTTGGTAAACGTATTTGCGAAAAAATATTTGCGTGTGCCTTAAGATTTAAAAATCCCTCGCTTTCGTGATCGTTGCGTGTGTATTAATTTAGACACACTTGTAAATACTTATCTCGATATCACGGCAGCGACTAAACGACGTCTGGCCCGATACTGAAGCTATTTAATTCAACGTTCTATCTGGGGCCAGATTGTTGATTTCACTTTCCGACTCGCGCATTAAAACGCGCGGCAATTAGCACGACTTACGCGATGGTAATTAGCATACTGTTGAAATGAGTCAAGAGTATTCTGCATTTTAATAATAGTATTTTGTAATGTCTATGATCCTTGTAAAGAGTAGCTGAAAAAGAAGTAGAATTATAGTCGTATTTAATATTTTTATATTTTATTTCTTTTGCCTTTTTAAGAGCAGAGTATTAAAAAAATTATGTTTACGTTGAATGTTTGATAATTTACTATGTGATTATTTACTTGAATCTCTGTCACGGTAGTTGAAAAAATCTTATAGAATCTACAGAATTTAAATAAAAAATTGACATTAAATTGACATTGGTACATATATATAGTTTCCTGCAAAGTTCGTAGATCGTCTTTCTTCGTCAAGGCACTTCAATTATCGCAACATTAACATAATGCATATACAATGCGTAAGATTACATATCCATGACGTAATTGGGATGAACAACGAGCAAAGGATCCTCCTCGTCTTCCTCGTCTTCTGTACCTCTTTTCCTCAAGTCAGTCGTCGTCAGAGGTATTATAATTTGATCCTGAAAAGAAAAAGAATTTGTGCATACTGTAAATTACGAGACCTAAATAAGAGTGCGACTATACATTATAATCAAAGATGTTAACACATACATTGTATATTAATCTGTCGATAAGCTTCTCGATGAAGTTTTTCCGGTCCATCAACTCTTCCTCCGAATCGATTTGTTCTTGTATCTGATCGAGGTACCATGCCACCAATTCGGACTTCCGTATACCGCCCTTATTGTCATCTGTCAGATAGCGTACGTCAATTTATAAGAGAAATGCATAATGATTAAAAGAATCCTACCGATATCTACTGCAATGCTTATCGTTGCAATAAAAAGTACCTTCGCTTTCGGCACGACTCTCCTCGCTTCTCATGTAAAGAATCAACATGTTCGACAAGTTTTTGTACACCTCGAAGGACATCGTTAATTTCTTCTTCGGCGGCTCGTACGTTTCGTCGCCGGCTGAAAAATCACACGAGTATAACGACATTGTGAGAAAACGCTGTAAAACAGCGAGACAAGTTACACGAACGTACGAGTCGGAGGCGGTGCATCGTTATTGCCTATCGCGTTAAGAGCCTCCATGAGCGGCGGTGCTTCGTCGACGTCCGCCTCTGCATTCACGTTGTCCATGCCCTCTTCGAGATCCACATCAGGCTGTTCCACCGTAATTATGCTCTTCTGTAACAATCGCTTCGCTTCTCTCACGTGCTTCACCGTCACTTCGTCCACGCATTCGAGTTTCGCCAGCGCTTCGGACAATCTAACCATGCTCTCTAACTGTCTCACGGTCACCCTCCACTTGCCGCTTCCGCTACCGGTTCTCTGTCTGAGAGCCGTGTAATTGTTCACCAGAAGCTCGGCAGCTTCCTACGGAGAAGATTTGACAGCGTTATCCAATGAATAACTTAACCCTTACAATGTGTCTTACCTGATTTAGAACAGGTTTAAAATGCTTGGCGAAATTTATGTATCTGATGATCTCCTCTTGCTTGTACACTATCTCAAGATTGTCCAGATTGTCGCAATGCAAGTTGATGATCCTATTGGCGATCCCGCTGTCGACGATTTCGTTACATTCGTCCAGCACGACGAAGAACAAGTCAAATCTCGACATGATCGGTGCGGTTAACTGCACATTCTGCTGCAGCGACTTCCTCCGGTCGTATCGGCCGCCGATGGGATTCGCCGCCGCTAATATGGATGTCCGAGCATTTAGGGTCGCCCTTACACCCGCCTAAAGATATATTCGTACGTTTCATTAGTAAAAATTCGTACTTGTTTACTCCGATTTTTTAATAAATATTAGATTAAAAGTAAAACATTCGACAATGGTTCCAATAATTTGGACGCTCTCATTGTATCTTCGGGTACCTTGGCTATCGAGATCGTCTGCTGCTCCATAGCTTCGTGAATCGCGACCTGGTCCTTCAAGTCCATCTTGTCGAATTCGTCGATGCAACAGATACCGTGATCCGCGAGCATCAACGCGCCAGCCTCGATGACAAAGTCTGCGGACTCCTCGTCTCGCACCACCGCGGCCGTTAAGCCGGCCGCGCTCGACGCTTTCCCGGACGTGTAAACCGCCCGGGGTGAGATGTCGGCCACGCACTTGAGAAACTGTGACTTGGCGGTACTGGGATCGCCGACGATGCAAACATTGACGTCCCCCCGTAGAGATGTGCCTTCTTCCGTGGTCTTGGGCACACCGCCGAAGAACATGAGGATAATTCCCTTTTTAATCTCGTCGTTACCGTAGATCGCCGGGAACATACTAGTAACTAGGTTCTCGTATAATTTTTTGTCCCGGCTCATCTCGTATATGCGATTCCACTCCGCCTCCGACATTTGTTTCTTCATCATTTCCTGCGAGATTTCTTCCATCGCCATATCTGTGCCTCCAAACTGTAACGAAGGATATGAACAGATCAAATAGATGAATATGCGGTTTTCTTTTTTAAAAAGAATACACCTCGCTCTTCGCATATTCTCGTTGATTCCACTTACTCTCAAGCTCGTAGCAGTAACATTGCAAGCGAGGAATGCCGTTTTGTATGTTAATTCCCTGACACCGAGTGTCTTGAGGCCACTTACTCCCTCTCTTTGCTCATTGTTCCTGTTTCTCGGTCTAATTTCTGCCTTGGCGTTTGGCAGAGACAATGCTCCCACGTCTGGAACGACTATGAGAGTCCCATAGAAGTCGTATCTAAAGAGAAAAAAGTTCGTTTAAAATTAAAATATTCTTTCAAATATCACATATATATCAATATATTTCATCTTCAAATTCTTACCTGTCGCCAGCTTGTACAAATTCGACCATCTCTGCTCTTAGAATAACTTCAACAGAACGAGGTATGGCTCCTCTAGGAAGTTCAGCTTGCGTTTCTTGTATCCTTACTTTTTGAAAGTCTATAAATATCGAGTTATCCACATCCAGTAAAAAACGACGTCTGTTGCTACATACCGGATTAGAGCAGATTGTCGGATTCGTGAACTGAAAAATTAATTGGTTTTTTAATAACCAAAGTAGCCTATCATAGTTTGTGTGATTAATCGTCGTTAGATTTATATCATAGATGGCAAAATGAATCTTTTTCTCACCTTAAACTGTTGCTCCACATTTTTAATGTACGCGTTACAGTCCATACAAATAAAAGTACCAAGAACCAACTCGGGATGAACTGGATGCGTTCTCACCACTTGTCCAGATATACGAGTCAAAGTACCCAATCGTGATGTGTTCAGATCTCTCAGCTTAAATCTACCAGGTACATCGACAAAACTAACATAACATTCCTTACTCTTTTCCAACTCCCCTATATCTTTGACAAAGTTGCATACTGCTTGACATAAGAATGGATATATCCTAGGAAACAAAAGATTATTTTCGTTAGTAATTTATAGTATACATGATATGACATATCGCATGTTGTAGTAGAATCAATTATGTTTTATATATATTACATAGATATTAGAATATAATATTATACTTTAGTCAAACATGATTATACAACCTGTAGTATTCCTCTATTATGGTTCCAGCTAGAACTTGATTGTACGTTTCTATATCATCAAACGATATCTCTAATGTACAGCGCTCTGGGCTGATGAGTTGTTTAGCTGGCTCCAAATATTTGATCTCCCCATCTTCCTTATATCTGTGACAGTGATACAATATACAATAAATTTCACAAATAAATTACAGTCCAACAATATCATTAATTTCAACGTTTAACTCAAGTAAGTTTGAGATATTTTGAAATGCTGCAAAAAATGTAATTAGTATAAAATAACTTACTCCTCCAGGAAATCTTGAAACAATTTTTGACACTTGACCCCAATCTCATCGCGCACTTGTAACCGACCTGTTTGTGCGGCATTAACGTCCATTTCTTTGATTAATTACGAAACGGCACTATCTACATAAACCGATAAAATTAAAGCGCCTAATACAAAACGATGTCAATGGAGATTTGGCGGGAGAAAAACTTCAAGCTTGTTTTCCAGTATCCATCAAAGCGAACAAGTTTGCTCTTTTCAGTTACGTAGGAAAAACTGTAGAATTCAGGACACACCAAATTATAAATTTTCACGAATACAATGATATGGAGGAAAAAGAGAAATATTTCACATTTTTATAAAAATAAGTATTTAATATAAAATCAAATACAAAAAGACGTAGAAGAAATTGAAAAGATTAGAATTCCTTAATTTTTCTGCATAATGTAATAAGTATTTAATATAAGATCAGAAAATATAGAAGAAATTGAAGAAATTAGACTATTTTAATTTTTTTGTACAATGTAAAAATGAGTCGATTGGTTTCACTAGTATGTCTGATCTATCGTTGACTCAGATGACATTCTCATTGGTCACGGTAACCTGTACGCCAGATAAGAATATTACGTTCTCAGTTCTGTATTGAAGCCAGTGGCGGCTCGTAGCGGATGGTGTGTAACTAGAAAAAATAACTTGGTCGCATTTCGGACTTGAGTAATTCCGCTAGATGGCGCCAAACGGTCCGTTAGTTGCATTTTTCGGCGGATAGGCTATTAGTCTAAAATGTAATTCTAAAATCTCCGCTATGAGCTTCCACTGTCTTTAGTGAAAAATAGAGTACATATGCAAATATTAAAAAGAAATTGTATAATTTAATCACAGATCAACTGTTATTTTCAAATTTTACGAGCTGAACAAAAATTAGAAGAATAATTTTATTTTCAAGTTACTGTACGCGTGGATTGAATGTTGTCTATTTTTCGTGATGGGGAAAAATAATAGTTTAATTTCCATGCATATGTTATTTACAGTATTATATTAACACGTTAACTTCCATTCCAAGTAGACGTGTATTGATTATCTTGACGAACGTCAAAATGACGTTAAAATGATGTCATCATCATTGTACTTTTAAATTGATCATAAAAACGTCTAACTGATGATTAAATCATTCTAAAAGGAGAAAGAGTGCAGTAAATAAATATAATTTAGAGTACATATCTTTTATATCTCGTTTCATTTGTTTCCTTATTAGCCATACAGCCCATTTTAGATACAATTAATTAAATATATTTTTACACAATTTAATAAAAGACACAGTAATATCATAGTGCCAGTTACCAATGACTTCCACAGTATGCAAATGTTAAAGATTGTCAATGTTCTGCACATGAAACCTTCGCACTGCAATATGTACATCACAATTTCTTTGTTTTCTTGTATAAGATTCACTTCGCCGGGCGATAAGAAATATTTCGAGACCGATGTTCGAGACTGGTTTTGAGCCTCGTTTAAGAAGAAACGCGTTGCTCCAAAGCGAAGCAAACAAAAGAAATTTAAATGAAGCAGAAGTTACGCAGTATTCGTCGGGAGTGTCCTCACGGGACAAAAGGAAAGTTCTTAATAATACTTTGCGATTTGTGAATAACGCGTACGGTCTTGACACAGAAAAGGGGGAAAGCGTAGAAATCTTTGGAGAGGACAGAGGACGGGAATACACGCTCTACGCATTTCCTGGCCGAGACAAGACTTGGCTCTTAAGCGGGCCCGACGGCGCGCTGTATAAATGGCACGCCGACTGCGTGCCGCCGTTTTAGTCCTTTTTGCGAAGTGGAAGGAGGATGGCCGTCGTCCGGAAAATCGGTATTGTTTGCCTGGTAACGAGAGTTCCGAAACAGCGCGCGTTACGAACATCGCAGCGAAACGTCGCGGCGAACGAGCAATAATAACCGGCGTAAATGTGTTAGGCTCAAATAACGATTACGCTGCGATGTATTTCATGGTAAAGTACGATGCTGTGTTTTGACAGCAATTAAATGCCATTAACGAATGTGTCGACGAAACGAAGCGAGGATCGAGACCGGGGTAATTTCGTTGAGTTCAATCCCTGATACCGTGATTGCGACCGAAATTGGCTTCTCATCGGTGTCTTGTTTCACTTAATAGCGAATGAACGTAATTAGTTTATATTCCATATTTCCGTGATATCCAGAGTCACGCCCAACGGAATCATATAGGTATCAATCTTTCTTTATTTTGTGTACATGTCAATTAACTCTCTACGGTTCCGTATCGGGCTGGACTCGACATGATATTTCGTTCCAGCCGGTTCTACGTCATTTTTTGCCTGCTCATTTTTTCGACCTCTCACGATATGCCGATACTTCAGCGAGAACCCGAAAAATGCTTGCAACATGATCACTTACAGCATGCATTTTAATGCGTTTCCATCATATTTAATTACATGCTTGCGGATAAAATCTATCGCCTTGTTAAACTAATGAGCCTATTGTACATTAACACGTTGACTGCCACGGAACTTTTCACGATTCCGGTCTAAGAAGCCAATTTGATTTAATCAAGTAATGAAGCGACGAGATAACTCGTAGTTGGCGTCCTGGGCAAGTAAACAACCTACGAGATATCTCGTAGTTGGCAGCCAACGTGTTAAGACATAAATAATTACTAAAATGCGGATATGCAAATAACCCGTCGAGCATCGACGGGAATAGCTGAATGCACGTGGATCCGCTGGAACGGAGCGTCGGGAGGCATAGTTCGAGAGCGCCGTGAAGGGTTAAAGTGTAATTTAAAGTACGCCCCCGTGTAAAGGGAAGCTTCATGACGTTGAAACGTTGCCAACGAAACTCCGGGCTCGCCCGATCGATCGCCATATTCGTCACTCGGCGCGTTAACGACTTAGCTTTTTTCTATTTCGGCGCGAAAGCTCCGACGTTTATCTAATAGCCTCGACGAGAGAGCGAGCGACGGTGCCGTGAACTTGGCTACCGAGCCGAGGTTTCGCTTGACGGGTGCTCGTGGGTGCATCGACCCGCCGGGTACTAAAACGAATCTGGCATTGTGCCGCCGCTTTAAGCGCCGATCCGCATAACGGCACGGTGGGAATGCGTTTCCGAAAGGCGGACGAACTAAGCTAACAGACGTCCTCCCCGTGCAAATGTAGGTGACACGCGTCTGCCTGACGAACGCCATACTGACGGCCAAGGCATCCACGGATGCGGCGGTTGCACCGCGCCCGTGGCATAGTTATCTGCCGGTAGCGAGCACGCTGCCACCGAAACATCCGCAATACGTCGTCCACGTCGATCACGCGATCGGCAATGATCTGGAGCAGCCCGTATTCCCCGGAGACTCGCGGCCGGAACGCTCGAGAGGACTCCAATCGGCGTCGTCCTCGAGCAACCATCAGCAGCAGTCGCGGACGAACATCCTTCAGAGGTACGAGCGATCTACTCTTTCTCTGTTAGGCGACGATTTTATTCTTTTTTTTATTCATTCAGTTAACGGCAATAAGGCTCTTTCTTGCATTCACATTATTTAGTGAGAAAATGTTACTATTAGCTGATATTTATTGGGAGAGTAGCTGTTAGCCTATAAACAAATCCTATTCATTGAATGAAACCCACCATACGATGATACTCAATATGAAATATATTAAACGAATAAATTATTCTGGATAACGCGTGAAGTCTGAATAATGTTAGTAATTCGGGACATATTATAAGACTGAGTATAAATATATAAATTTAAAGAAAAAAGAAATACAAATAAGAAATATCCTCTCAAGATACAATTGAACGTGACGTAATAATTCCAGCTGATAGTCATAATATGTAAACAGCATTGCGTCCTTCGTGCAATATTTGGCAAGGCGGAAAAATAGTTTGAAAATAACGGGAGTATGGGTTATGCACGAGATACGTTTGATTGACGTAAACGCGATCTCGGAAACGTGGTAGGTGATTTTAACTCGGGAGTTTTCCCCGACGAACGAACTTTTACGGTCGATCTCCCTTTGGCGGAAACGTCACGGCAACGATCGACGCAACTTTCTTAATTTCCAACGATGAATTTCGCGAGACCGGTGAATCCCGAAGGGAAAATTTCGGAGATGAAATCGTGTCGGGGGATGTAACTGAAATATCTCTCGGTAGATTCCAAGACTTCTCGTAAGTAGACGGGATCTTCAAGCAGATACTGACTGACTCGATACACATCTCGAGACGAGAAATCTCGCGATATCTCTCCCCCTCGCAGATATTATACTATATCTCCTTTTCTCGGCATTCGCGGCGAGGTTCCCCACGGAAATTCACCACGACGAAGTTCGGCTTACGGCGGAAGTGCCGTCGAACGCATCGCCGTCGCTATCGCCGCCGATGAGAGCCACAACGACGACGGCGAAGACGACGACGAAGACGACGACAACGACGGCGTTATCGAGACCACGAGGTATCCGGGAATATCAGCGCGACGTACCTCGACGGTTCTCGTATCAGGATATCGAAGAGCTCGACGGGTACCTGACGGATGACCTGGATGACGGTAAACTGCCGTATCGTGGGAAAGCTGAGTCGACGTATCAGCGTCGCAGGCCGCAAGACATAACGACGGCCATCAAGGCTCTCGATCGCTTCCTGAACGAGGCTCTGAACGCCGACAGCTACAACAGCCAGCTACATCTACCGCCCAATCCTGTTTTAGCCCTCGTCCTGTCCCGATACGGGCGCTACGTGCCTGGAACGCGAAACCCCCGCGTGTACGCGAACACGGCGGTGAACAATATGCACAACAACAAACCGTTCGGCATTTACAAATACGAGTGTGACGAACAGCCCATTTATGCGGTGAGATAACGCGCTGCGATTGTAACGATGAATTCGCCTTTGAAAATGTCGTCGCACAATAACGACCCAAGTCAGCATTTTGATGTTACTTTGACGTTCTCAATGAATAGCCTACCCGAGTCGAAATTTCAATTCTACATTAATATAAAATAAGAGTAAATTGTATTATTAGAATTGAAATTGAACCTGTTGTGCTATTTTAGTGCTTCTACACTGAGGGAAATTATAGTTATTATCAGTTTTAATTACATATTTTTGTATGGTTTTAACTGCAAAAATAGTAATAACAACATGCATGAGTTATTGTCACTGACACTATAGTAAAAACTTATTAGAAAAAAGATTCTGACTATTATTCTTTCACTATGATGATTATATTGTATTGTACTGTAGAATTAAAAAGGTCGAAATTTCAAGTCGGGCATTGCGAGATGAAAGTCGATGGTATGAAAATTGAATTTTTATAACGGATACTTCTCCTCAAACGTATAGTACAAATATCATAATGTAATAATAAATATAATAATAATATGTAACGTATTTGTATATAAGAACACGTGTGATGGATGCTCTGGAAACATTTCTTCCGCGAGTCTGAATGTCGTTACGCCCCGAGATTGATGAACTACTGAAGCTCGTATCAGACGACGTGCTGCAGATTGAGGATCGCGAATTGGGAATTGAAACTGAACCAATCGGGTAATTTCAATCTTGGTCCGCTTTGTCCCGAGATTGATCGAGTCCCACAATCTCCAATTCGCAATCCTCTATCTCCCGTGCGTAGTTTGATACCGGCTCTAGCGAGAGACCGTCTCGTGCGTGCGTAGTAAGATATTTACCGACATCGCCTAGCTGCGGGAGTATTCAATACCCTTCAATACCTTCTTGTGAATCATTACAACAAAGCGCGTTTGTTTCTGCTCGCAGCAACCGGAGATCCTCGATTTCACCTCGGTTCACGATAGCTTTGATTCGAATTCTCTCTCGCAAAGCAGAGGACAAAAAGGACAAACTCGCGACCGATTATAACTCACTCAGGTAACATAAAAAAAAAATGTACGACTTTTTTTGGCACACAGCGGGGGAACACCAACGCAACGATGCCGAGAATCCGTACCTTCCAGCGTGGGACGTTCGTTTCTCCGGCGCGCGCGGCACTCGAATTCAAAAATATCCCCCGTACCTATCTCGCCCACGGTGTAATTTGTCCCATAGCCGTTCACAGAGACATAACGACGCCCATCAAGGCCCTCGGCCGCTTCCTGCGGCGGACCCTGAACGACCGTGTAGTCGCTCCGCAGCGCAAACTGCGTCCGTCGGCCAATCTCTCGCGTTTAAACGCTGGCTGCGCCTAGGCGCGAACGACGCGCTAATGTATCCGCACGTTAAAAGCTCACCTCTGCTCGGACGGATTCGCGGATCAGGGAACACCTGATGCGCGTGCGAGAAACGCGAGGGATTTTCGACAATGAATTATTATTACTGTATACTCTAAGGGGTCTAAACTTCAAAAGATCAAATATATACTCTACTCTCTCTCTCTCTCTCTCTCATGTGATTTAATTCCCTGAACGTAACTCACGGCCGAGATTTTCCGACGTCACCATTAGTCGACGGACCGAAGAGCCGCAGACGATTCTCGTCGACATCGCGTCAGAGTTATAATTGTCTTCTTCGCGCATCGGTCGCGCTGCAATTAACAGAATGAATCCTTCGAGTGTGCTATTAATGGGATCCCCCGACTTGCCGTCGAGATGTCTGCTAGACGGTTAATCGATATTGCGCCGAATTTATCCTTGAACCTATTCACAATCCGATTTTACGGCGGGTTAATTGGAGTAGTTGGGGAATCCGCTCGAGAAACTCCGATTAAGCAGTAAACTACTCTCATTACATCTACCTCTCTCGCTCTCTCTCTAACCCTCCCCCCCCTCCCTCCTCGCCTGTCTCCGTCTCTCAGTAGGTGTTCCTTACTGGACTTCATTTATCTAAACTGCGTATTGTGATCGTGTTCTTGGAAGGTAGACGCGCAATTATAAAGCAATTACCATCGATATTGCTCCTAATTCGCCGGATGCGCATTGTACCGCAACGGGGCGACAACTACGTAAGCGAGTTCTACCGAAATATCAGTCCGGGGAGCGGGAGCAGGTACGTACGTGCGAAAGGAAAATAGACAAGCCGACAAAATTCCAATTTGCGCGAGAATTTCGCATTCATCTTCGGCAAATACTGGATCGCGCGGCAGATTGGTTAATATCATGCGCGTCGTGATTAATATATTCTAAACCCGGCGTACGGCGATGTTTAAATTTACATTACGTTGCGTGTGTGTGCTCGACCGACGCCGGATTATTTTGCAAATAAATTTTAAATTAGATGACGAATATGCAATACGTACGTACATATACACACGCGTTCGCGCGGGGACGTACGTATGTTATCCGGATATACGTGAATTTCCATTTGCATCGGCGATTTAGCCAATAAATATAAATACATATACGCCCGTTGACTCGCTATATACGTATGTTTTCATTTGCATTGCTGATACCGGCGGTAAATTCGGATGTCAGCGAATGCGGAAGTCGCGCTCGAGGAGCGCGCTGGAAACAAGCGAGCGAGTGAGCAAAGCCGCGCGCCAGAATTACCAGCCGTTTCAAGGAGCATCCGAGCTAGCCGGTGGAGGGGGCGGAGGAAGGAAAGGTAAAGGAAAATATCGCGAACTCGGCGGCGTTTTCGCAGGTCGTTCAATTTCGCCGACGGAAGCGCACGTCCGCGAGATCATAAAACGGACGGCGGGGCTCTTAAGTGACGCTTGATTGCCCCTCGTCCGCTGGGAAAGCAGATTGTCAGAGAATCGTGTTTTCCGTTAACGGCGCGCGCCATCAGTTTCACCTGAGATTTACGGAGGGCGAAATCGGCGCGCGGCTTAATAACTCGGCTGATACCGCCACCTGATATATATATACTCGAGATTAGTCGGTAATACGTAGCGAGCGCGATACCCTTTCGATTCTCTCTCTTCGGGAGAGTAACTCGCATCCGTATTGGATTATCCGTCCGTTATCGATTCGATGCCGGAACGCGAAGAAGACCGGGCGAGAGGTCGTCGAACTCTCTCTCTCTCTCTCTCTCCCCCCCGAGAAAGAGAGTGCCGTCGTGAAAGCAGTCATGGCAAATTCTGTTACGAATTGCGCCGGCGTTTCCGCGACAACGAATCGCGACAGCAAGGTCAAAAATATAGCGCGGTTTTGCGCAAAGTACTCCCGCGCCGCGAGAACCTGCCCCTGCATTATTTAAATCATACGACAATGATGAATATTTTATGCCGAAAGTCGCGCGAGGCGGGCGGGACGACGAGGGGTGAGACAAGCGCGGCGTGTATACGCGCGGAATGCAAACGCCGGGCAAAACGGGCCTCGTCACGGTCTCGCCGCGCGCGAATATCGCGCGCGTCTCTTTTCTTTAATAGTCAGAACGATATCCGCAAGAGCAGAACAGATAAAGCGGCTCATTCATCATTCCGGGCAGGACGTGCAAATTTCCTCGCGTTTCTTTTCCTCCCCTATAATTCCCGCGCTCCTTTAGGCACTCCGCGTTACGAGCGGCGGTAGGGGCCATGAGAGAAAAAGAGAGAGAGAGAGAGAAACTCCGCCCGCAACTTCGGGGTTTCGAATCAAACGGTGATGAAAAAAGGCGACGGTAAAGCAGTGGGAATAAAATATGAGAAATACGTTCCTCCTCGAGGCATACGATTCATTTCGCCGATCCCCGCCGAACCCCGCTTTCGCGCAGCCACAAAAAGAAAAGAAGGAGGCGAGGAGAGAAGAAGAGAGGCAGACCCGAGAGAAAAGCACGTCGTATTAACTCGTCACGTTAAGTTTTCTTTCTCGCGTGCGCTCTCTCTCTCTCTCTCTCTATTTCCCCCTTTCCCTCTTCCTCTCTCTCGTCTTCTGAAAAATCCATCCTCCACGGCGTACTTTAGATCCGTGTAATTCTCGCCACTTTGCATCATGATCAACCGACGTAGCACGCCCTCGAATAACGATCGTTTGAAATATAAATATACGCCTAATGGACGGTCGAACGCGGAATATTGTAAATTAATACGCGATTTATACATGTCGACGCGTGACGCGCAATCACATATTGAAGAACGTGAATAAAGCATGCTATGTGTTACATTACAGGTCGCTCTAGTAATATATAACGTGAGGAAAAAAAAGAGGGGAACGATATTTACAGGAAAAATCGCGACCGATCGCGTGGTTGCGCCCACCGTTGTGCAACCGATTCGATCTTCGTCTGTATCGCATGGCAGCGCGATGCGAGCAACGATACTTTAATGGGTGCATTTCAGGGAGTCGGTTGCGTTCCGGGCATCAACTGTGTTGCCGCCTTATCAAATTCTCATACGAGCTCCCGGGGAATCGCAAAATGACGGAACACAAAGCGCCGTACATCGTGTACATCGTATCGGCGGCTGTGTTGCACCGCAACCGTGCGTACCTTTACCTGCTTGCTGCCAATACCGATCAACTCCGCATCGATTCTCCCCTTCCCCCCTTCCCGCTCCCTCTTTCATTCCGTTTCGCCTCCTCCCCCTCTTCCCTCTCTCTCTCTCTTTCTCTCACTCTTTCACTCTCAGCTCAGGAACGGTGACCATTGAAATTTCGATCGGACGGCTTCGATACATCGTTGGCTTTTCAAAGCCCGGGAGGATCGACGTCCGATTTGTCTCCGAGTCGCGCATTTCGTTCTACGTTCCCTTCGTTCGGTCGCGCCGGTGTATGAATGCGGTTACGTGCATCCACCAGGGCCGGTTTAAGGTTTGTCTCCATCGCCGCAACCGCAAGGGACTTTGTGGACGGAAAGGAAGACGCGTGGTAAAAGTTCCGGCGCTTAAAATTTTACGCAGGATTATTCCCGCCGTCTCGTTTTCGCCCTGTTCTCTGCGTGTCATTGAATATTCCCCACGTATACATGAATCACCCAACACCCGGGATAATCGAGAACTTTCGTCATTTCTTCCATTTGTGTTCTACCAACTTGGATTTCGCAAATTTCTCTCAAACATTTT